GTCAGCCGCGCGACTACCGCAACCAGCCGCCCGGACTCCCTTCTGCCCCCTTTCCTCTCCCCCCTCCCCCTCGGCCCCTCTCTCTCCTCCCCGCTGGTACGCCCTCCCTCCCAGCCCTCTTCGACCCTCCCTATCCCCTTCTTCCTCCCCCTACCCCACTCGATCTCCCTTCCTACCTCCTTCTGACCCCCTCCCTCCCTACCCTCAACCCCCCCCCGTCCCTACCCTATTCTACCTCCCATCCTGCCCACTTCTACCTCCCTCCCCAAGCGGACTTTACTCCCTCTCTACCCCCACTCCGACGATTCATTTCATCCCCCCTCCTCCCTCTCCCTCCCTCTCTCTCTCCCCCTCCTAACTCCCTCCCTCTCCCCCTCATTCTACCCTCCACTTCCCTCCCCTACCCATACCAGGTGGAGCTCCCCCCCCTCAACACCCCTACTACCCCTCTCCCCCTCCCCCCACTCGAACCTCCGCCGCAACACCCAGATGTCCACTTCCAGGTGTGTTTGTGGGGAGGGGAGGAGGGGGAGAAGAGACGAAACACACACCGAGGAGAATTGTAATAAACAAATAAAAAAAAAAACACTCACAGTAGTAATAAAAAAAGGAGGAGGCAATAAATAAAAATAAAATAAAAACTGGAAACGCGCGAAGGTTGTGGCAATAGACGAGGCAGATGGACGAGTGAGGACGGACATTAGGATCGGTCACAGAGGCGGCTGCGAGGTCAGGTCAGGTCTCAATGGGGGGGGGGAGGAGGAGGAGGAGAAGAGGAGGAGGGGTTTGGGGGTAGGGAGATAGGGGGAGAAGAGGAGGTGGAGTAGGGGAAGAAAATGAGAGCGAAAGGAAAGTGAGAGGGAGAGAGAAGAGGGTGAAAGAGGGAGGACAGGAAGGAGAGACTGAGAGAAGAAGAAGAAGAAGAAGAAGAAGAAGAAGAAGAAGAAGGAGAAGAAGTAGTAATAGTAGAAGAAGAAGAAGAAGGGGAGGAGGAAGAATAGGAAATGAAGTAGGAACGAGGAGGAGAAAGAGGACAAAGAAAAGAAGGAGGAGCAGAAAGAAAGAAAAGAACGAGAAGAAGAGGAAAGCGAAGGAAAAAGAAAAGAAGAAAGAAGAAGAAAGCGAAGAAGGAGGATGAGACAGAAGAGAGAGAGAGAGAGAAGGATGTAAACCGACCCAACATCTCCCTCCCACCTCCCCACCTACTCCCCCCTACCCCCCTACCCCCCTACCCCCCTCTCCCAGAACTTGGCCTCACCTGCGCGGCACAAATTACTAGATATTTAATCCAATTCCAGGTAAGACTCGAGCTTTGCAGAGTTCATGGTGCTGGCAGCGGGGAGCATGAATATTCAAGGACGGGTATGCAGATGGGGGAATGGGGGGGGGGGGGTACGGAGGGGGGCTAAGGGGGGAGAATGGGTGGTGGGTGGGGTAAGGAGGGGGAATGGGTGGTGGGTGGGGTACGGAGGGGTAAGGAGGGAAGGGTTGGGTACTAGGTGGAGGGGCAAGGGAGGAGATTGGGGGAGGGGTACTGGGTTTAAGGAAGAGAACTAGAAGATAAGGGAAGAGGACAAGGAGGGGGGAATGGAGGAGGGGAGGGGAAGGTAGGGGAATGGAAGTAGGAGATGGGTACAAGTTGGAGTGGCAAGTTGGGGTATGGGGGGGGGGGGAGTTGGGGTATGAGAGTGGGGGGCAAGTTGGGGTATGAGAGGGGGAGGCAAGTTGGGGAATGAGAGTGGGGGATAAGTTGGGGTATGAGAGCGGGGGAGTTGGGGCATGAAGTGGGAAGTTAGGATTTGGGGGGGGGGGGGTGCGTGGGAAAGTTTGGGTGAGAATGGGCAAATATTGGATGAGGGAAGGCAAGACAAGGGGCAGAAGGAAAATAGTATGGGGTGTTGGGGGGGGGGGGGGCTCACCTGATAAAGACAAACACCAAAAGAAAATTGGAAAATCAAGTAATCATGAGAGCTAAAGACTGATAAATGTGGGAGGGGGGGGATACCAGTGCCTCAGTGGAAAGGTGATACTGATGTAAACAAGAAGCGATTGTGGGAACAGTGTGTGTGCGCGCGCGCGCGCGTGTGTGTGCGTGTGTGTGTGTGAGAGAGAGAGAGAGAGAGAGAGAGAGAGAGAGAGAGAGAGAGAGAGAGAGAGAGAGAGGAGAGAGAGGAGAGAGAGGAGAGAGAGAGAGAGAGAGAGAGGAGAGAGAGGAGAGAGAGAGAGAGAGAGGAGAGAGAGAGAGAGAGAGAGAGAGAGAAGAGACGAGAGAGAGAAGAGACAGCGACAGCGAGAGGGAAAGAGACAGCGACAGAGAGAGAGAGAGGGACCCATGTATACAAGTTGGCCCTCCGTTGATGGCACAGCAGCTAAGTAGGTGCCATGTGGTGCCAGCGCGCGTAGACGTCCAAATAGTGTTCGAGCGACGTAAGCGGTGCCATGGCCAAGTGTGGGCAAAATGCAGGACTGACCACGCATAACTAATGTTATGCAAATGCAGAAGAGAGCGTGCCTGGCCGGCGAAGCTTACCACCACTCCCTACCACGCTCTGTCTCTCACTACCACTCGCTAACTCTCTATCTCTTACAACCACTCGTTAACACCCTCTACTCTCACTCACTACCACTCGCTACCATTTGCTACCACTCTCTCTACTATTCGCTTTCATCCTCTGCTATTCACTTCCATCCTCTACAACTCGCTACCACTCTCTACCTCTTCCTACAACTCGCTACCACCCGCTACCACTCTGTACCATTCGCTACCACCCACTACAACCCGCTACCATTCTCTACCACTCGCTACCACTCTCTACCATTCGCTATCACTCGCTATCACTCTCTACAACTCGCTACCACTAGCTATCTCTTCCTACCACCGCGTTTCACTGCCTAACGTGGTTTCCCCGATTCTCTCATTCTTTCATTCATTCTCCGTTCCTGTCTCCTCCTCCTCCCTTCTTGTCAATCTCCTATCTACATCTATCTCTTTAACCATCCATCTGTCAACCTATCTATTAATCTATGTATCGCCCAATCAACCAATCAAAGAAAGTATCTTCGTATTCAACCACGCTATCCATCTAATCTTCTATTAGTCTGCCTATTTATCTATTCATCTATCTCCCTATTTTCGTTTTTTTACACATGGAATTACGCAATAAACAGTACTGCCGAAATTTACATAGTATAGGAGACGATGGAGAAGAAGAAGAAGAAGAAGAGGGAGAGGGAGAAGGAGAAGAAGAAGAAGAAGAGGGAGAGGGAGAAGGAGAAGAAGAAGAAGAAGAGGGAGAAGGAGAAGAAGAAGAGGGAGAAAGAAAAGGAGAAAGAGATGAAGAGGGAGAGGGAGAAGAAGAGGGACGAGGAGGAGGAAGAGAAGAGGGAGAAGGAGAAGGAGGGGGAGAAGAAGAAAAAAGAAGAAGAAGAAGAAGAAGAAGAAGGAGAAGATGAGGAAGAAAAAGAGGAAAGGGAATCAACGCGAACGAAGCCTAATGGAGACACCAAAAAAGATAAAGAAAGAAAGAATAAAGACGACAGGGATAATAATTCCCTTAATCCAGCCTTCCTCCGAATGCTTCTTGACCCTGACCCTCTTCCCCCCTTCCCCCCCTTTCCTCTTTTTCCTTCCTGTCTACCCATCCTCCCACCCCCTGCCCATCCCTCTCCCTCAACCGCCCCATCCCATGCCCCTCCCATAAAACACCAGCCGCTTTCCTTCCCCATCTCCCCCTCCCCTCCCCCACCACCCCACCTTTCCCTTCCCTCCCCCATCTCCTCCTTCCCTCCCCCATCTCCCCCTCCCCTCCCCCACCACCCCACCTTTCCCTTCCCTCCCCCATCTCCTCCTTCCCTCCCCCATCTCCCCCTCCCTACCCCCACCACCCCCACCTTTCCCTTCCCTCCCCCACCACCACCTTCCTCCACCCACCCTATATACCCCCACCAACCCCACCCTCATCCTACCCTCCTATACCTTCTCTCCCCCATCCACCCCCATTCTTCCCCTCCCTCCCTCCCCCCTTCCCCCTTCCCCCCCACCAGAGGTAATCCCGGACATCGACAATAAAATTCCCATTATTCGCCCTCGACACATGCTTCAGCCGGCTATAAAGAGGAAATTAGTCAGATCGGACACTCATCCTATCACCTTCCTCCCCCCTCCCCCCTCCCTCCCTCTCCCCTCCTCCCTCCCTCTCTTCCTCTCATCCTATTCTATCCTTTTCTTTTTTTCCCCCCCCCCCAGCTTGCTTCCCATCATCCCTCGCTTCCTTTCTCCCTCTCTCCCTCTTCCCACCTTTTATCCTTTCGTCTCTCCCTCCTCCGACCTTTCCTCCCTCCCTCTCTCCCCCCACAGCTTTCCTCCCTCCCTCTCTCCCTCCCCCACCTTTCCTCTCTCCCTCTCTCCCTCCCTCTCTCCCTCCGCCACTTTTCCTCCCTCCCTCTCTTCCTCCTCCCACCTTTTATCCCTCCGTCTCTCCCTCCCCCCACCTTTCCTCCCTCCCCTCTCTCCCTCCCCCACCTTTCCTCTCTCCCTCTCTCCCTCCCCCACCTTTCCTCCCTCCCTCTCTCCCTCCCCCCACTTTTCCTCCCTCCCTCTCTCCCTCCCCCCACCTTTCCTCCCTCCCTCTCTCCCTCCCCCACCTTTCCTCTCTCCCTCCCCCACTTTTCCTCCCTCCCTCTCTCCCTCCCCCCACCTTTCCTCCCTCCCTCTCTCCCTCCTCCCACCTTTTATCCCTCCGTCTCTCCCTCCCCCCACCTTTCCTCCCTCCCTCTCTCCATCCCATACCTTTCCTCTCTCCCTCCCTCTCTCCCCCCACAGCTTTCCTCCCTCCCTCTCTCCCTCCCCCGCCTTTCCTCCCTCCCTCTCTCCCTCCCCCCGCCTTTCCTCCCTCCCTCCCTCCCTCCCCCACTTTTCCTCCCTCCCTCTCTCCCTCCCCCGCCTTTCCTCCCTCCCTCCCTCCCTCCCCCGCCTTTCCTCTCTCCCTCTCTCCCTGCTC